GTGTTCCTGGTGGACACCCTCAACTTCTCCTTCTGGTCCGAGCAGGAGGAGCAGAAGTACCTGGTGAAGTACAAGGGTAAAACGTACAGCGGCTACTGGTCCCTCTGCGCCGCCGTCAACAGGGCGCTTGACGACGGTTAGTGAGCGCCGGGGGAGCGGGGCGGGCGGTGGCGAGGCGTTAGGCGCTGCGCAATGAGTAGAATATGAAGGAGCTGCCTCAGGAACGGGAACCATTTCCGCCATCTGAGCTTGCTGTCCTGATAAATCTGTGTGTGCAGGCCGTCCCGTAGAGCTTGGGGGAGGTAACTGCAAGTGCTTTAATAATACCTGGTACTGAAACTACGTAACTTGCGGCTCTGATCCGGTTATCGCTTTTCCATTAAAGACTTTAAGGAATATCTGCAGTCAGCTGTTTGTGACTTCTGTTATTTCGCGTGTGTTCTTAAGATAAATTGCATATTTCCATGACAAATGAGAAAATGAGGCTTAAACTGAGAGTCCTCTGGACTAATCTAGTACCAAAGTGGCTCCAGTAAGTCTGAAAAGCCATATGCGTCCAAAACCAGTATTTTACCGCTCACTCCTGTTGCTGTCATCAGAAAAAAAAATCTGTATGTACAAATGGAAGTTTTAATTAATTTCCGAGATATTTATTTTGTAAATTTAAGGGAAGGTTTGCCTTAAGATTGTGTTTGTAAATGCACAATGTGATTAGGAGCTCAGGGAGAAGGGGCCTAGGCTGACAGTGGTAACTGTATACTAACTGTATTTGTCAGTGTGCTGTGTAAACATCACACACAAAGACTAGGCAGTTGGGAAAGATTACATGTAAAAAATAAGAAAGGTTCCATGGTTGCATGTCAGAAATTCTTATCTGTAGAAGGAAGCACTGTGTGCAAACACAAATTTAGTTTTAAGCAGCTATGTGAGTGCTGTTACTGCTGAATGCTCAGCTGACTTTAAGAGTTGATAGACTCTCTAGATCTTAATCATATAAATGCTCTCATCTGTAGCAGGCCACTGCATTAGGTCTTAGGGTATGTTACGGTCACCTAAATATCTTATTTTTACTTTTCTGAAGGAATACCCATTACCAGTGCATCATATTTTGCCACCATGACGCTTGACCAAGTTAGGCATGTGTTTCGCTCTGACACAGAAGTGCCCATACCTTTGATTGAAGAAAGACATCGGGTGCTGAATGAAAGTGGAACAGTTCTGTTAGAGAAGTTTGGAGGCTCTTTCCTCACTTGTGTTAAAATGAGTGAGAAAAGTGCTCAGAAACTACTACGTCTAGTACTGGAAAATTTTCCTTCTTACAGAGATGAAGCTGTATTTGAGGTAAGCTAGTTCTAACACTGAATTTCTTATGATAAGAATTTACTCCTTACTGATTGTGACTTTAAAAGATAGCTCTTAGGTTGTCTACATAAATTTTTCTGAGAGCATAGTCAGTTCAGAATGCATCTAGTATTTGTGAATTGTTGGGGTTTTTAATCCAGGAAATGAAAGGCGAACAGAAATGTGTGGAATTCAGTGTATTCAAAAGTCAAATTCAAGGGAAATAAGGAAAATTACTATTATTTTAATATGTTTGCCTCAAATCGGTAAAGATATTGGTCTGTATAATGAAAGGAAAATGAGACTGTGGAGCAGTTGATATTCATTATGTAAATTACTATGAGTCATACAGATAGGGAAGAAGGTGGTTTTTTTTTTAAATAATACGCTTGGACCACAGTATACTTTTTTGCTAAGCTGAGGTAAAATTATTGAGATTTCGTTTCGCTATTAGTCTAAACCTCTGAAAACAAAATCGCACAATGTGTTAACAGTAAAAGAATCTTGATTGTCTTGAGGCCTTAACTAGTCAGGAATGTATTTCTAATGACAAGAGTCACTTTCTTCCCCAGAGGAGAGCCATTTTTCTCATATGCTGTCTCTGTCTTCATCACTTTGTTGTAATTGATTTTTACATAGTCCAAGTTCCCAATTAGATCACGACTCCTTGGTACTCCTTACAAATGCATAATATTTGAGATAACTTCTGCCTGAAAAGTCTGAATCTTTTTTTTCCTTTTTTTTTTTCCCCTCTTGAATTGGTACCAAAAAAACCCCCCCCAGCTCTCTTTCTTCTTTTACCTTGAGGATCCCTGCAGCTAATGAAGGAAAAGAAACTCTGGTAGAATTGTGAAATTGTAAAACTACTGGGAATCTACATTGTAACTGTTGTTGATTCAACAGCTGTTGCACAAATTACTACGAACCAGAAGTAACCCATACTTTTGTCAGGACTGACAGTATATTGGGGCTTTTTGGAGCTGTTTTCCTGAAGGAAACTGATGGGAAGTAAAGAGAGACTATCTGGTATTTTCTGTCTCTGGTTTTGTCTATACTGGCATGATCTTTATTTAGCATCAGAGAAGGGCAACAAGGCTGGTGAAGGGCCTGGAGAAAAAGCCTTATGAGGAGCGGCTGAGGGAGCTGGGGTTGTTTAGTCTGGAGAAGAGGAGGCTGAGGGGAGACCTGATCGCCCTCTACAACCACCTGAAAGGAGGTTGTAGTGAGGTGGGGATTGGGCTCTTCTCCACGGTAATTAGCGATAGGACGAGAGGAAATGGTCTCAAGTTGCGCCAGGGGAGGTTCAGGCTCGACATTAGAAAGAACTTCTTCACTGTTAGAGTTGTTAGGCATTGGAACAGGCTCCCCAGGGAGGTGGTGGAGTCATCATCCCTGGAGGTGTTCAAAAAACGTTTAGATGTGGTACTTCAAGACATGGTTTAGTGGACAGGGTGGCATCAGGTATACAGTTGGACTTGATGATCTTTGAGTTCTCTTCCAACCATAATGATTCTATGATTCTATTCTATTCTATGATTCTATATGTAGTTGCTCTTGTGCTCAGTTCCCATCTGCAGTACTGTTCAGCTGTTACATTGTTATGTCCAAAAGACTTTATTCTAATGACAACGTAGCCTATACTAAGTCTGTGCAGTCTTTTCAAGGTAACTCACTGAACACCAGCCAATCACTGGAGCTTTGAACCTATTGCATTTATCACTTAAATCTGACCTTCAGTAGGTGGCATGGTTTTATTTTCCTTTGTCTCCTGCTATGAAGTAAGATGTTTACGTGGAAAATCAGAGGTGGTTTCTAATCTTTGAAGCTACTGGTTTAATTTGTTGGGTTTTTTTACATATAAAGTACTTTTTTTGATGATTTTTTTATTATCAAAAAGGAAATATTTTCCACGTAAAATGATAATAGAGTATTTTATTGTCTTTGTAGTAACTGTATTCATCGACATAATGTCTTTCATGACATGATGCCAAATGCTTTATAAAGCAAGCCTCCCTAAAAGCAGCAGCAGGCTACAGAATGAAAAGATGTTCCAAAAATGGTCCCAGACCATTAGCATTGACATAGTAGTAAAGCCTGTTTTATGAATATGGAAGCTCTTTTTATGCTTTCGCTAAGCAAGATGTGTATTTTGAGTTGAGTGAAATAATGTAGACCAAGTTTACACCCTACTTTTTGAAGGAGAAAAAAAAAAGAAAACAAACCAAACAAAAATCAGTGTTAGCACCTAATGCGAGGTGACTTGGATCACATTATCAACATCATTTCTATGGCAGCAGGTTGGGACCTGTCAAGTAAGACTCTGCCTTCAATAAAGGGTTAGGAGGGTACTGAAAAGATAACACAATTCTTTGATTATATGTTTTTCCAAACATACACAAAATATTTTTCATAATTACACATTACTGAATGTGATTATAGATACTGCTGATGTTCTTTTGCTTCTGAAAAGTGAATTGCAAACCAAAACCAAAATCCCCAAAACCTTTTTTAACTTGGGTGGATAGTTCATGTTTAGATGCTGTGCTGAATTTGAATCCTGACAGAAGTTTAAATGTTAGACGTATGTTAGACTTGCACATCAGGGTTTTCATATTCTGACATAGATACAGTGGAGTCCTTTCTGAGCTTCCAGTCATTAACATGGCATGTACTTATCTTTTAGTTCCCATCACCTGGGACCAAGGTTGTAAAATTCTCGTGATCCTGCTATTCTTTGCTTTTTTACTAGCTGTGCTATGACATTTTGCTCTTTGCCAACACAATATTCTGTCTTTCTTTTAATATCAGCAGGTCATAATTACTTAACGTTTCTTGATACTGGCTCATTGCAGTGTAGAGACAGAAGTGTCTGTATATATGGTAGCTTTTACTGGAAAGTGAGAGTGTTGCAGAAAAAGTAGTGTAGTTGTATTGCCATCTGGTAAAATGTTCAATTTTTGGACAATTTATACTATCTTTGAGACATAGTATCATCTACCTAATGATTTCCTTGTTTTCTGTTGGAAAGAATGGTGGGAAAATTTACTAGAAATGCTTAATAGACTTTTTCATATTGAGAATTTTACTTAAACTTCAGAAGCTCTGTGCAGCATAAAGAACTAATAATTGAAACAATGAAATTATAAATTCATCTGCTTAATGACAAATTCCAGACAGTATTTTTCTTCCAAATTAAATAAATTGCAGCATGAAATGAAAAGTTCCATTTGAAGTCTCCCTTCCTCTGCCTTTACAAAATGGTGTGGTGCTGGAGATGATCAGTTCTTTACTATGTTGGAAAAATCTTAATGCTACAAAAGAACCATGTCTGTGGTTTCCATTAGCTTTGAGGCAGTAGGAGCTGTGATGGGATTTGGTCTAGTAATTATTTACTTCCTGTTTTGGTGTTTTATTATTTAATATACAAAATTGTGTATGTTACCTAGAAGTAAGTTTGTGCATCTATGTCAAGCATAGAATGAAGCACAGGGGAAGAAAGAGTTTTCAGGGTGTTTGCAGGAGTTGTTCTGTGAAATGTGGTTGGACATCTTGGAGAATAGCATTTAATGACAAAAAATATGCTTTGCTCTGAGGAATAGTTGTAGCATCTTGTCAATAAAGTGAAATTAAATTAGCTTAAAAATGCCATTTGTAAATTGTGGTATGGAGGGTGGCAGAATAAAACTGGAAATAAGTCAAATCACCAGCTGCTTGTATTTCAGATTAGCCATTCCAGTTACATATCGTTGTTTAGCACACATCAGAAGTAAAACATCTCATCTAACTATAAAGGGAGGAAAAAACCCCACAACCCACTAGTACCTTTTTTTCTTAAAGATGTGGATTTACATTCACGCGTTGCGTTCATCATAGAGTGAAAACCCCAATGGCATATCTTAGCATCGTAGCATATCTTAGTGTAGTTTTTCCCCTTGTGAGTAACCACAAAAGCATGTAAGTCTTTGCAGGATTAGCACCAGAAAAAGGGGGTATGATGCAAATAGAACCATGCATAGTATCTTAAGAAAATACTGTATTTGTGAATACACCTTCTACTACAATTAATTTTCTTCAACTAGCAAGATACACTACACAACATAGGCGAGCATTCATTTAAGTTTTCACTAGAATTTTATTTCCTTAACATTACAGATAAATTGATTAACAAAATGTTTTAATTGTCTAATCCAGTACATGCCTTTTATGCTTCTGTTCCCAAAGTAAAAAGTTGGATGAACTCTAGGGTTTATGAAAAAATTAATGTTTGCTGGACTTCAACTACAGTGTTTGCCAAGTGGAAGTAAACCAATATATTAATGTGTTCTGCAATCCAAGCAGAATCCAAACAATTTTTATTCCACTGGAGTGACTTCTATTATGTTTTTCTTTTATTTCAATTTATCTATGAGCATTCCACATGGTACTTGTTCATGGTTTGATATTGTTTAGATTTTAAGGTGTTAAAAGAGTGTTGCAATTTTATTCTGTTTTAGTTAACTAGTATGTTTGCTTAGCCAAATGATAGTTTGTTTCGTTGGAGAATGTGACTCTTACCTGTCTCTCTCTGTACATGTCATTTGCTGTATTTGTTGATGTTTCAGGCACTTAAATAACTTACAAATTTCTTTCATCAGAAAAAAAAGGTGTCTTTCTACAAACGGGCACAAATACTCGTGGCTGATACATGGAGTGTATTAGAAGGCAAAGGAGATGGCTTTTTTAGTGACATTTCTAGTCTGACTATATTTGCTGACTACAGAATTCCTCAAGTTCTTGTTCACTTAAAAGCAATGAAGTATTCTGACGAACTAATGAAGAAACTACGTGAAGGTTTGTTCCTCCCTTACTACTATCAAGTAGTCTCCCCTCTTGACATTGTACACTAAAGCTACTTTTAAAATGTAATGTTTTGTCCATGTAAGGGTTATGTGTACTTTCTTTTTGCTCCAGGGAACAAGGACTTCTTATGTAGTGATGAGGTAACAGGAAGGAACTTTAGCAATGGTCTTGAATGAGATCTTAATTTTATATAAGATCTTAATTTTTTTTAAAGGTCTAACAGTTGATGTCCAAGTTTCTGAAGGGCTGCTGTTGCCAGAAACACTTTTCAGCATGAGTATAGTTGTGATTTTTGAGACTTAGATAAAAGAAGCAATGATTTCTTTATTAGTTCAAAGGTGATGTAAAAGCAAGGGGATTCTTCTTTATCTGTACTGAACTGCCAGTGGCAAGCAAGGTAACATTATAAGCATTCATTGAAAAAAAAGAAAATTGCTTTAAATGAAATTAATTGTGTAAGACTAGAGTCTCATTTTTACTCATGGTTCCAACTTCCAGTACTTATTAACGATGAACTTCAGTGAATAAAAACATAAACCAATCCCTTTTCCACTGTAAAATGACTGTATTTAGAGCTAGGACTGCTATTATGCAATTTTAAAATTACACAGCGAGATAAAGAGATGAATGCAGTTGTCCATGGATCTTAATAGAATGACCCTATTTATATATGCATATATATATAAAAAAAATAGATCATGTAGACAATTTTAGCTTTTCCATTAATTGTAATAAGGACATTCCCGTCCAAGTCAATTCAAACAGATGGGTCCCTTTATATTTTTTTTATATAT